ATGATATTCACGAATCATAGAGACACAAAGATAAATAAAGGGAATACAACTCATTGGACTTGCAATCTATCTGAAATATCAAGGACACCGAGTTCCCTACGAATATGAAAGAATGGTTCGGTCGCAAGTGGTTTTGTAAAAATATCGAAAAGTTGATTTTTTCTATCAACGTGCTCAAACACGACTTCACCTTTCTCTACATGATCCCTGAGGAAGTGGTGCCTAATTTCAATATGTTTAGTACGCGAGTGTAGAACTGAATTTTTGGTTAGATTTATGGCACTTGTGTTATCACAAAATATTGGAATATGATTAAGTTTTAAATCATAGTCGAGTAATTATTGTTTGAGCCACAAAATTTGAGCACAACAATTACCGACTGCAACATATTCTGCCTCGTTGTTGACAAAGAAACTGAAACTTGCTTTTTGCTATACCAACTTACTAAGGTGTTTGAAAAGAAATGACAAGTGCCACTTGTGCTTTTCCTATCCAATTTACAACCTGCAAGGTCGGAATCGGAATAGCCAACCAAAGAACAATCACTACCCTTGGAGAACCAAAGTCCATACTTAGGAGTACCACAAAGATACCTAAGTATACGTTTTACAACTTTTAGATGACTCTCCTTAGGACATGATTGATATCTAGCACACATGCAAACACTAAACATAATGTCAGGACGAGAAGCAGTAAGATAAATAAGAGATCTGATCATACCTCTATACCTTTTTACATCAACCGGCCTACCATGTTCATCCCAATCTAGGCTAACCGCGATAGGCATTGGAGTGTCAATAACTTTTGAGTTTGCCTTATCGAAGCGCTTGAGCAACTCATAGCAATACTTAGTTTGGCTAACAAAAGTTCCTTCCTCTAGTTGTTTGATTTGAAGACCTAGGAAGTAGTTTAACTCTCCCATCATGCTTATTTCAAATTCACCCTGCATCACTTTAGAAAATTTCTTGACCAAGGTGATGTTAGTAGACCTAAAGATGATATCATCTACATAAATTTTCACTAAGATGGAGTGATTTCCTTGGCGCTTAATGAAGAGGGTTGTATCAACCTCCCCTCTAGAAAATCCCTTTTCTAGTAAGAACTTGCTAAGTCGATCATACCAAGCCCTAGGGGCTTTCTTAAGACCGTATAAAGCACGTTTAAGTTTATAAACATGTTTAGGAAACTCATAATTTTCAAATCCGGGAGGTTGAGATACATATACTTCTTCATTAATATAACCATTTAAGAAAGCACTCTTAACATCCATTTGAAATAGCTTAAAGTTTTGTGAGCATGCATAAGCTAATAACAAGCGTATAGCCTCGAGTCGGAAAACCGGAGCATAAGTTTCCTCATAGTCGATGCCTTCCTCTTGGTTATATCCTTGAGCAACAAGACGCGCCTTGTTGCGAGTTATGATTATGTTTTTGTCAAGTTTGTTTCTAAATACCCACTTAGTACCAATTATTCGATGGTCTCGCGGAGAGGGGACAAGGTCTGAAACCTCATTTCTCTTGAATTGGTTTAATTCTTCTTGCATTGCCAAAAACACATGTTCATCGAATAAAGCTTCTTTAGGATTTTTAGGCTCAATTTGAGAGATGAATGCGAAATGATAACAAAAGTTACTTATCTTAGATCGTGTAGTTACTCCCTTTGATATGTCTCCAAGAATGTTGTCAATGAGATGATCCTTGGTTTCTTTCCACTCCAAAGGAGGGTTTATTTCATTTGTTGGTAGAGTGTCTTCTTCTTCTTTGCTAGACACATGATCCATCTCCCCTTTTTCTTTCTCAAGTAAGGGCTCATTACTCTTTTCATCTTGATCATTAAGTATCCTTTCCGAAGAAGCACCTGCACCATTAAAATAAATACCCTTTCCAACCATTTTTGGACAGGATTCATCAAAGGAAACATGCACAGATTCTTCCATAATTTGTAACCTTTTATTAAATACCCTATATGCTTTACTAGATTGAGAGTATCCGAGGAAGATACCTTCATCGGCTTTTGAGTCAATTTTACCAAGATTTTCTTTGCCATTATTTAATACAAAACATTTACAACCAAAGACATGGAGATGGGAAATATTTGGTTTTCTACCTTTCAAAAGTTCATACGGAGTTTTGTTGAGCATAGGACGTATCAAGATCCTATTTAGCACATAACAAGCCGTATTAATGGCATCGGCCCAAAAGTATTTTGGAAGACCATGTTCATTGATCATAGTTCTCCCAAGTTCTTCTAGAACACGATTTTTACGCTCAACAACTCCATTTTGTTGAGGTGTTCTAGGAGCAGAAAAATTATGATCAATTCCATTTCTTTCACAAAATTCATCAAAGAGGTGATTTTCGAATTCACCTCCATGGTCACTTCGGATGGTAACAATTTTTGTATTCAACTTGTTTTGAGATAATTTGGCAAAATTTTCAAAAGCATAAAAAGTATCACTTTTGTTTGCTAAGAATATCGTCCAAAAAAATCTAGAGTAGTCATCAACTATAACAAAGCCATAGTAATTTCCACCTAGACTTTTAATTATAAATGGTCCAAATAAATCCATATGGAGTAGTTTAAGTGGTTTCGTTGTAGAGATGACATTTTTAGATTTAAAAGAGACTCGTGTTTGTTTACCCATTTGACAAGCATCACATAGATGATCTTTTGAAAATTTAATTTTGGGTAAGCCAATCACAAGGTCTTTAGATATGATTTTATTTAGCAAACCAAAGTTAACGTGTGTTAATCGCCTATGCCAAAGCCATGAGTCTTCACTCATAGAGACTAAGCATTTAGCACCTGTTAGGGACACATCATTCAAGTCAAGCATATACACATTGTTTACCCTCAATCCCTTAAACACATCCTCTTTCTTACCATTATGTTTGATTATGAAATCATCCTTTAGAAAAGTAATTTTGTAACCTTTGTCGCATAATTGACTAATGCTAATAAGATTGTGTTTAAGACCTTCAACTAGTAGGACATATGAGATAGTGGTGGATGAGGGATTACCTACACTACCTTTACCGAGTATTGCTCCCTCGTTGTTATCACCATAAGTAACAAATTCTTTCTTCTTTGCTACAAAGTCAAAGAAAATGTCACCCGTCATGTGTCTTGAGCAACCACTATCGAGAAACCATCTTCTCTCGAGAGGCTCAAGACATTCCACCTGAAATATCAAACATGGGAGATATGTACCCAACATTCATTGGGTCCTTGAGTGTGAGTTAAACATTTGTTGCCTTTGGGGAACCATTGGTATATGCCTTTAGGAACTAAGAATCTCCTAAATCGACATTTACTAATGGTATGTCCCTTCTTGCAACAATATAGGCAAGACATATCTAAGTGAGATCTACTCTTGCTATCTTGATCCCATACTTCATAGGTATATTTTTGATAGGGATTAATCATACTTTTTTCTGAAGTTTGAGCGATTGATAGCAAACATAATCTTAGGTTGTAAAGCTTTGTCTACTTTGGCTTTGAGAGTTCTAACTTCTTTTTGCCAAATATGACAAGTTTCACATCCATGCCATTTAAACCAAGCTCTCTCTTCTTTTTCACATTTTCCTTCAATATTTTCTATCATAGATGCTTTAAGAGCTTCTAATTCCTTTTCGGAATCATAAACATTTTGTTCTAGATATGAAAAGATTTTCTTGTTTGAGGCTAAGCGTTGGAAAGCTTCCTTAGCCTCTTGATGTAAAATATTGAAGGAATTTAACAATTCTAAATAAGAAATTTCATCAACATGATCATACTTAGCATGACTTACATTCTTTTTCTTATGATGATGAGCCATGAGACAAAGGTTAACCGTTTCTTCTTCATCACTTGAGAAACCTTTACTTGAGGAATCACTATCGCTCTCCCAAGCAATGTATGCTCTTCTATATTTGGTTGGTTTCTTTTGATTTTTGGCCTTGGCTTTGTCTTTCTTCAAATAGGGGAAATCCGGCTTGTAATGACCGAGTTTGCCACAATGGTAGCATGATCCTCGTGACTTAGGCATCTTACTTTCATCTTGCCTGGTTGGTTAAGAGTGGCGTCTATAATTGATGAGATTCTTATTCGAATGTTGAATTTCGTTTTTCCAGAGAAATCTATTGTATTTTCTTACGAACAGACCCATATCCTCATCCGGACTCTCATCGTCATCACTTGATTCACTTGCACACGAAATTGAGGTGGATGACTTGGAGCTTGAAGAGCATATTTCAATGTTTGATAGAAAGTAAGACGACAACTTAGAGGTATACTCTTCACAGTGAAGATAAGTGCAGTAAGAACTCTCTCTAACAACCTTGCATCCAAAACAAGCTCCCCGTTTGCTTCGAGGTTATCTGAGTCAATTTTGGATGGTTTAACAATACCTACAATGTGACTCCCGACCCCTTCTCTCCCATGAGTGGCACGAACAAGACTATCAGGATGATGACATGTCCGACTCATGACATGAATGCTCATACACCTCTCACATAACCATTGCTCAACCATCCTCAAAGACTCTTCCAATACCGTAAATAAATCACAATCATTCTCAATCTCATTCCGTATGATATTTTTCCGTTCGTCACTACATAAGTGTAGCATTTTAAGATAAGACACAAAATAAAAAAATACTTTTGCTCTTATCTCTACCATCGAGACAACAATGGAATCTTCGAAATAGACAATGTAAATTTTCTATTTGAGTAGAAACCATTAGATAAAAAAATCTGTATTCTTAAGGAAAATCAAAATTTCAAAATTTTGAATTTCAAAAAAAGTAAAAGAAATAAAAGGAAATTAAGAAAAATCAAAATTCCAAAATTTTTAATTGAAATAAAAGGAAATTAAGAAAAATCTACATTTATATAGAAGGAAAATCAATTTAATTTATTAAAGAATCAATTTTTTTCCAAACTTGTATACTTAAAGAATCAAATATCTTAGTTATTATAATTATAAGTATAAACAATTGAAGCCATATGATCCTAAGGCAAATGATGATCTCCAATAAGTTCAAAATGTTAAGATTTTTGGCACTCTCTATACTATATATTCTTCAGATTCAATATGCAAATGGAAAAGTTCACCATCACAAGTTTGTGGTAAGTGTTTTTTTTTAAATTTAATTTTCCCATTAATTAATGATGGTAGCAATGAACAATATCTGTAAAAAAAAAACTGTTTGTGTTTTTCTGCAGGTGAAATCATCATCTTTCAGAAGATTATGTAGTAGCAAGAATATTTTGACAGTAAATGGACAATTTCCTGGTCCAATATTGAAAGCTCATAGAGGAGACAAGCTTATAGTTAAGATTTATAATCAGGCAAATTATAACATATCAATACATTGGTACGTGGTTTCAAACATTAGTAATTTTCACATGTTTTTTTTTTTAATTTACTTTAGTTTAAACATTTATTTAAAACAAAAGATTGAGTACAACTTGGATAAATTTTTTTTTTTTTTTTGCATAATTTGTGTACAACTTCGTCACGACGTCTTAATTTTTTAGATGTCTTGGTCCTTCAAACGTTATCATAGTAGATCTAACATGAGGTTTTATTTACTTATAATTTTATCTTATAAATTTTAGGTCATGTGTTGTGTCTTTGAAGTATGGACGGAAATATAACACTGACATTAACACGTTGACACCGATAATAATTAAAAAATAAATAAATTAAACATAATCACAATACTAACATTGACACGTTGATACCGATAGTAATTTAAAAAAATAAATTAATTAAACGTAATCATATATGTCAGATGTCAGTGTCAGTTTTGACCACTTACACTTACACGCATTTTGTTAGAGGAAGTTTCAGTGCTACAAAAATTGTCGGTCATCTTGTACATTCTGGCAGACAGCCTTCAACTTGGCCCAAAGGTATGTGATTGATTGGAAGAGTGTTTGATTGCAGGCATGGTGCAAGACAGGTTAGGAATCCATGGTCAGATGGACCTGAATACATAACACAATGTCCAATTAAACCAGGAAATGTGTTCAAACAAATCATACATTTGACAACAGAAGAAGGAACAATTTGGTGGCATGCACATAATGGTTGGGCAAGAGCAACAGTTCATGGAGCTCTCATCATTCATCCCAAATCTGGACACACTTATCCATTTCCTAAACCTCATGCTGATGTTCCAATTATACTAGGTACTTTCATCAACATTTCATATAATTCTCCTTTTGAATTTTGTGTTTACAGTACAATTCCTATATTGAAATTTTCATCGTTTTGAAGGTGAGTGGTGGAAGGAACAAGTTATGGAAATTCCAGAAGTAGCTAATAAAACTGGTGGAGAACCAATCCTATCAAATGCATATACCATAAATGGTCAACCTGGTTACCTATATCCCTGCTCCAAAAAAGGTACACTCCCCTCCATTGTTTTTGTTTTATGTTTTTTTGTCTGTGTCAATAACCATCAGAAACTCACGCACACAATTGCGATGTTCTAGATTTGAATTCTTGTGATGTTGATAGATACTTTCAAGATGAACGTGGAGTATGGAAAAACATATCTTCTTAGAGTAATCAATGCGGTAATGGACGAAGAGCTTTTCTTTGCGATTGCGAACCACAAATTGACAGTAGTTGGCAAAGATGGATTATACTTAAAACCAATAGAAACAGATTACATAATGATCACACCAGGCCAATCAATGGACATTCTCTTAGAAGCAAATCAACTTCCCGGTCGATATTTCATGGCTGCGAGAGCATATTCAAGTGCTTTCGGTGCTGGTTTCGATAACACAACCACAACAGCTTTACTCATATATTCTCCTTCTCGGCGTGACAGAAAAAGTCCAACTCTTCCGACTCTTCCTCCTTACAACAAAACTGAAGCATCAACAAACTTCACAAAGAAATTCAGAAGCCTAGCAACAAAAACTCATCCAATAAACGTCCCGACAAAAATCGACACGCACTTATTATTCACGATTTCTGTTAATTTGCTCAACTGTACTCACGATAAGCCCTGCACGGGTCCATTCGGCAAGAGATTTGCGGCCAGTGTGAACAACATTAGTCTAGTGCATCCAGATATTGATTTTCTAAGTGCATATTACTATGGCATCCCAAATATATTTGAAATGGATTTTCCTAAAAAACCAGAAAGGGAATTCAATTACACAAGTGATAAATTACCAGAATATTTTTTGAGTACATCATTTGGTACAAAAGTGTTGGTTTTGGAGTATGATGCAAGTGTTGAACTTATATTGCAAGGGACTAATGTGTTAGCAAGTGATAATCACCCTGTTCATTTGCATGGTTATAGCTTCTATGTGGTTGGTTGGGGCTTTGGGAATTTTGATCCTAAGAAAGATCCTAAAAACTATAATCTTGTTGATCCACCAGAAGAAACTACAGTTGGAGTACCAAATAATGGTTGGGTTGCTATCAGATTTAGAGCCGATAATCCAGGTAATTTTTTTAATGTAACCACATGTATAATTTTAAATCGCACTATAATTGCGGTGCAGTTCGATGTAATTACAAAAACATTAACAATATTGCGATTGTAGTTACGGATAAGGACTATATTTAATTTGATTTGTGTTTTTTAATGTTTGATTATGCTTAGGTATGTGGTTGCTGCATTGTCACATAGAGAGACATGCTACATGGGGAATGAGTATGGTGTTTCTAGTGAAAGATGGTCCTAATCCTAAAACACGAATGCTTCCACCTCCTAAAGATTTACCTAAATGTTAAAGATTTATAGTAATAGTCTTTATTTATATACCAAAGGATTATTGGAATGTTGGATATAATTCAAATGTATTTTGGAAGTTTCTAAGTTCGTTTCGTGTAAAACTGTTTATTTGAAAAGTATTTCTGGAAACTGTTAAAATTTTGTGTTTCGGAGGAGAAACTGGTTTTCTAGTTTGAGGAAACCAGTTTCTGTCATGAATTTTAACTTCCTATTTATTTTTCAGTTGAGGAAATCGGTTTCCCTGTTTTAGGAAACTGGTTTCTGGTGCGATAATTTTAGTTTTTTGCTATTTTGTTGGGTCTGTTTGATTCGAAAGTTGTTTTAAGTGTATCCTATATAAACTCTCATGTAATGTGTTTTTTTTGTTAATGTCAATTTATGAGTTTCTCCTCAATTTCACTCTCTAATAATCTATATTTTTCTCTCTAAACTTCATCTTCTCCAATCAACCACTTTTCACCATTAACTCACGAACTTCATTTTGTGTATGTTCTAACATTTGGTATTAAGAGCTTTGGTTCTGATCCATTAACCCGCTGCAAATTGTGTCTACCGTTTCCAGTGATTGAATCCCTATCAACCTTCCAATTATTGATTAAGAACTATGACAAATGGTGCAAACAAATGAAAGTTTTGTTTGGGTATCAAGAAGTTCTCGAAGTCGTTAACGATGACGTTACACCTCTTGGGGCAGAAGCTACAGCTGCACAATAAACTACATTCAAGGAAGAGAAGAAGAAAGACTACAAAGCACTCTTCTTGATACATTCTTGCGTCGATAATGATAACTTTGAAAAGGTTGGAGATTGCACGTCGGTGAAGCAAGCGTAGGAGATATTGAAGAAGCTTATGAAATGGCCGATAAAGCAAAGGTTGTGAGGTTACAAACTCACAAGAGGCACTTCGAATTAGCGCAAATAGAAGAGAATGAGTCGGTAAATGATTACATTACGCGTATAACGCGTTTGGTGAATCAAATGAAGTCTTGCGGTGAAACCGTAACGGTACAAAATGTGGTAGCAAAGATCTTGCGTTCTTACAATGAGTAAGAAGGAGATTCAAAGCTCATTAGAGGCTCATGAAAAAATAATGGATGAAAGAAGAAATGATAAGGCGAAAGCAGAGATTTCATTACAAGCACAATTCAATGAGAAGAATAAGAGACCGAAAGGAAAATGGTCTTCAAAAGGGAAGACAAATTCTCAGAATTTTGGTGGCAAAGAGTCACAAAATTCAAAGACTTTGATGGTGCAAAGGGGAGAGAGCAGCTCCAAAGGTGGTGGTCAAGGTAACTACACCAAATAAATTGACAAGAGTGGTGTAACGTGTTACAATTGTCACAAACTTGGGCATTTCGCAAGAGAATGCAATGCAAAACCGAAGGAAAATCAAGGTGACGAGGCTAAGGTAGCTAGACAAGTGGTGAATGATGATAATACACTTCTAGTCACGATCACATGAGAGAATTATGGCTTGAAAAAGCTATTGGACAGCAGTAGTAGCAACTGTCAGAAGTTGGGAAGCAGTGTCTACAGTGCAGAAAATTCTGCAGAAACATGTTCGGAGTGAAACGCAATGATAACCATTCGATATGGTGTCCAAGGAAGTGATGAGTGGTACTTGGATTATGATTATTCAACGCATATGACAGTTAGAAAGGATTGGTTTGTCAAAATCAATTAAGCTACGAAGAACAAAGTAAATTCACGGATGACACAACTTTAGCGACTGATGGAGTGGGTGATGTTTGATCATGAAGAAGGACGGGAGTCACTCCTTGATCAAAGATGTGTTATTCATTCCTGGAATTAAATGTAATCTCTTGAGCATTGGCCAATTTCTTGATAAGAATTACATAATTCACATGGAAAATAAGATTTTACGCATTTTGGACCAAAACAAAGTCTTAATTCTTAGAGCACACATGGCTGCAAATCATACTTTTAAGATATAGTTAGAAGTGATGGAGCACGAGTGTCTTTCTACAGCGGAAAGTCGTGATGAGTGGTTATGGCATTACCATCTTGGACATCTCAATTTTCGAGACCTCGACGCGTTACAAAGAAATTGTATGGTGATTGGGCTGCCCAAGATCAATATTCCAGCTGAGATTTGTGAAGAGTGTGTTCAAGGAAAACAACAAAAGAATAGTTTCAGCAAGGATGTAGGTCATAGGACCAAACATCATCTTGAGGTGGTGTAATGCAAGTTGACTCGTATGGTGGAAATAGGTACTTTGTCACTTTTAGTGATGGTTTTAGTAGGAAGCTGTGGATTTATCTAATCAAGAGGAAAGATGAGGTGTTTGATGTGTTCAAACGTTTTAAATCCATGGCAGAGTGGCAGAGTGGTTACAAGTTGAAAATTCTCAAAACCGATGGTGGAGGAGAGTATACCTCGAGTGAGTTTAGGAATTATTATTATGTTGAGGGTATAGTGCGTGAGGTTGTACCACCTTATATGCCTCATCAAAATGGTGTTATCGAGAGAAGAAATCATTCGATAATGAATATGGTTTGTAGAATATTGAAGGGAAAAAGCTTACCGAAGGAACTATGGGATGAAGCCATATCTATAGCCGCTTATTTGTTGAATAGGTGTCCTACTAAGAAGCTGGAAAAAGTGACACCAGAAGATGCATGGTATGGTTATAAACCAAGTTTGAGTCATTTGAAGTTTTTCGGTTCGGTAGCATTTCGATATATTCTGGGTCAGCTTCGAAAGAAGTTGGATGACAAAGGAGAGATAATGTAACTAGTTGGTTATCATCCTACCGGAGGCTACAAGTTGTTTAATGTGAGTAGCAAGAAGATCGTGATAAGTTGAGATGTGGTTGTGCAGGATTTGAGGCTATTTGACAGCAAGAAAAAATCCATGACAGTGGTGGAAACTGGTTTCTGGGATGAGGGAAACTGGTTTCCTCCATAGGTTTTGCATCCTGAAGCTACTAGAACTGGACTTCACAAAGAAGAAATCAGTTTCCCTGTTTCTGGAAACCGGTTTCCACAGGAAAATGTAGAAAATCAGCATTTTGCAGAAACAGTTCAGCCGCCGATCGAAGTTGAAAACGGTGAATCCAGTAGACATCCAACAAGGCACAAAGTGTGAGCAACCCCTTCATATAATTGGTTTTAAATGATATCAAATATATGGGAAATAATCAATGAATGTTAAAAATGATTTACCTACATGTGTGCATTGTAAAAAAATATAGTATAACATGTTTAAAATGAGTTAAGAATGTGTTTTGCACATAAAACATTATTATGAGTCGACACAAACAACTTTTCATCGATGCATACTTAAGCAAAGAATCATAAAAATGATTCTGCTTCAGTATGAGTCGACACATCCATGCTATGCATCGACTCATAACATGTTGATGCCCCTAGAATACAACCTTCAACCTTTATGCATCGATATATAACTTCATGCATCAACACATGATATGTTGATGTCCCTGGAAAACATTTTTGAACTTTTATGCATCGATAAATAACATCATGCATCGATTCATAACACGTTTTGTCTTCAAAAATCAAAAGTTCAATTAAGTATGTGTCGACACGTACGTGGTATTATACATCGACTCATATAAAATGGTTGGCTCTATAATATGTTGTAATATCTGTTTGCATCGACTCATAACAACATGTATCGAATCATTCTGTGTTACATAACTAACATGAGTCGACTCATGCTAACATGCATCGACTCATAATACAAATTTCTGTCTCTAACCATTTTCTGTTACATATATAAGTAAGTTTTTTTCAGCAGTAAAACAACAGACATAATTATTTACAATTGTGAGCATCAATTCTGAGCATCAAGAAGCCTGAAAGATACTTCATCTTCATCATCTTCTCAATCATCTTAATTCAACAACAACAACAACTAAAATCAAACATCTTTATTCAATTGGATCAAGAGATCAAGAGATAACGTTCAACTGTGCATTCAAGGGATCTCAACTTGGTTGAATATTCTGAAGGGGGCTTCGAGGAAAAACCAAGGGGTTTATCCTTCAAGAATGAATGTTTTCTTGAGGGTTTGTTAGTCACGGTCGCACAAGTCGGATTCAGCCGTAGCGAGAGGTTTGGAAATCAGAGGGATTTTTGCAAACAGGTCGTGGAAGCGGAGGATCGGTTGTGCATCTTGTAGGGAATCTTGATAAGGCTCATATCAAGTGGAAGTACTAACAAGAAGAAGAAGATATTAGGGATTTCTTTCTGTCTGTGTAGTGTAACCTTGTATTCAAACATTCAGCAAAATTGTTATAAGAATTCTCAATTTCAATTTTGGAATTGAGAGGGAGATGTACCCACATGCAAGGACGACAGTGGGGAACTTCCTTACCAAACTGCCTGCGTATTGTTTTTTCTTTTTCTCTATCTCTTTACATTTTCCGCAATTTTGTGATTCAATTGGCTTGCTGAGTTTTCTGTTTAATAATAAAATAGTGGTTCAAATACTTTCATCAAATCACCATTATTAATCATCAAACAAGCATACGCCAACTGTTTGACAAAATTGCTTACAAGTTTTAATTCATTGGTAACATTGTTCTAGTGATAAGTGCATTAAAAACGGTAAGTAATATGTGTTTAAGATTCATCTATTTCATATTAATAAAATTCAGCAAGTTTATCGCATGTCCGGTTTTTTAGTAGTTGGTTCAAAATAGACGGAAGTTGATTCTGGACCTTGCTTTTCCGCTACTTTTAACAAAATTTGATAAAAGATTTTAAATCCTTGAAAAATAAGGAGGTGATCTATTCACCCCCCTCTCGATCACTTTCCACACTGTCTAACAAGTGGTATCAGAGCGTCAATTAGCTGGTGCTTTGTGTCTACTAGTAACGCTATGGCCTTTGGACCAAAGGGGGGGGTATAATAGAGCTCCTGTTTTCAATGGTTAAAACTATGGCTACTGGAAAGACTGCATGCGAGTACACATAAATTCCATTGACAGGAATGTATGGACTGCCATTCAGAA